CAAAACCGCAATACTTTCCTTGATCTTTTGGTCCACCGGAGAAGAACCACTGGAAGAAAGCCCATATGAAGCTTATGGAGAAGTACTTGGTGAAGGCTTGGACTTGTTTTCTGCATTACAAAACCCCGAAACCCCGAATTCAGTAATTTGAAACTACAATCACAAATCTTCTGTTGTATGATCAGTTGGTAAGGAAACCAAACAAAAAGCCAGAACAAGGATTTACTTGCCTGGCCATCTTGTGTCCCTTTCGAGTGTGGAATCCATTGATAAGTGCACCAGTAGCTGTTCCACTTGGATAGCTCAATTTATAGTCTATTATCATAATCTGAAACCAATCAAAACCATCCCAATTTATCATATCAGATGCTCATTCCATTCAATACACAGCTAGCTCATCGAGACTTGTTCGTTTAACAAGGAAAAAAGGGTCCACTCTACCTTCCTGAGAGGAACCAGGGCAAGTAGCCCAGCAAAGCTGCTCACAAAGAGGAAACCAATCATCCATCCGATTCCGGGTTCCTTTACGCTCCGCGGATTGTTCCCAGCTGAATCAACCCCAGATAGCTCGTACGTCTTCCTGTTCAAACCCAGAAGATACGACCCAAAACCACCTGCATAATTGTATTGCCATTTGTTACAAAACCATCTGCAGCAGTAACTTGCTGTATATGAAAACTAAGTTGATTTCATGTTCTATAAGAAAATATGTCAATCTCAATCCCCACCTCCAAAATCCATGCTGTAACAAGCCACAGCGCAAGTCTGAATCAAGGTATTCTCCTGCCTGGTGAAGGGAGTGGTGACGAATCCGGCCTTCTTGAGAAGCTTGGTCCAAGTGGTGACGAACACGAAGGCTAACAGCGCCGCTGAGACGTTTAACGTTGGGACTATCCCAGTTGTTAGAATCAACTTCATCACGATCACCACGTATATAAACCCGATCGCCACGCTCGCCACGATCCCTCTCACCGTGAATTGCTTCGTCCACGGAGGAATCCTTTTGAATTCCTGCTCCCATGCTTCTTCTGAATTCTCTTCCTCCTCCTCCTCCTCCCAATTCTGGGATCCTCTTCCTGTTGTTGTTTCAGGCCTCTCTGCAGCCATCTCTATCTCCTTCCTTTCCCCCTCATCATCGCCCATTGCAAAGGAACTAACAAACCCTGAACCCCACTGAAACAGAGGATTGGTATTTGGCGTTTCTTGATTGAAGAAATTCCCACACTGAAATGCTATCCTACTGATCACTACTTCAATCGATTTCGAATTTCCGCAGTGGAATGGGATTTCGTTTATGTTGGGAGAAATCTGGTGACGATAAAGATTGAATCTTTGGTGGGATTGTGGGCAGGGCAAGTCGGACTCAGTGATGGCGCATGGCAGTTGATAGTCAATTTTCTGTTATGTACACGTCAGCGTACACGTGGCGGGCATCCGTATCAGTTTGTACTTCCCGCCCGTTGCTCTCCCCGGGCTAACGGCTTGCCACATCAGTAAGACTCCCGCCTCCCACACGCTTCTTCTTTTTTTCTTTTTCCTTTAATTTTGTACATGGATCCAATCAAGTTTGGGCCGAGTTTGAGATTGGATCGTTTTGCTGGGCCAACTCAAGTTCGAAGGAGCCCAAAAGCTACGGTATAATAATACAAGTGGCGTACAATACTGTCCAAAAAGGCCCAGAGTGGTGTTGGAAAAAAAGGAAACTCTTTCGAAATAATAATAATTTAAAAATAGAATTCTGGTTTTATCTTAGAAAATAAAAATTAGAAAATCTGGAGGAAAATGTTAACCCGAGCAAACCAGACGAGAGAATCTCTTGGGGACACGGGCGGACGGTGTTCGATGCCCGAGTGAGCGAGTAAGATCCGATATTCAGAGGTGGTGGAGGAGAGAGAGAGAGAGAAAAGCCTACCCTGGTCGTCGATCTCAGAGAATACTTCGCCGGCGACCGCTGTTGCTTTTTGTTGAATTCATTCATAGTCGGCGCAGAGGGAGAGGCGGAGAGTCGCGGTCCGGTATCCCGCTAAATCGCGCATTTGGGGAAACCGTACGTTGGCACGCGATTGGGTAGGAGGCCGGAGAAGCACCGGCAATCGAGGCGATGAGTAGTTACAAGGCGCTTCTCAGGCCGAGGCTCGAGAACTCGGTGTTCGACTCGCTGAGTCAACTCGGGCAGGAAAGGTATAACTCGGTCGGTGCAGAAAAGCTGGGGGGGGGGGGGGGGCGGGTAGATTTTGTTTTCTTATTGTTCCTCCTTGTTTGGCTCTGATATTACCGTGTGGCCTGTGTTTCTTTTTTGACAGAAATTCGAACAATGACGATGCTCTTTCCGATGCCGATTCCGTTATTCTGAACGGCCCGGACATCTTCGACTGCGAGAATCAGGTGCGTTTCGTCATGGATTTGATTCATCAGCGAGTGGAGCAGTCTCAGGTAATGGGCCTCAATTCACATTTGGTTTCCGAGGCACTGAATGAATCTGCCTTTGGTGTTATCGACGAAGAAGACAATCGTAATGCCATCAGGAGTTTAGAACTCGATTTGGGGATAGGGTTTGGTTTAGGCACACACGACAATTGCGGGTTCCATGATGTGTACGCTGGTGATGATTCCAGCAACATTGATTATCATTGCAATACTGTTCTTGATGATATTATCGATGACGACGTGTTCTTCATTGAGAGGAGGGTGTCTGGGCTTGAATCACGGATCGTTGGGTTCCAGTCAGATTCGGAGTCGGAGGAGAATGACAACTCTCTGCTAGCTATAGATTTCGGTTCTCGTGATGAATATGGATTGGATGACGATATACATGTGGGAAGTGGGCACTATGATTATGGCGATGGAGAAAATGATGTTGGTGTTGATGATGATGAAAGTATTACGATTCCCCTTTGTTGGAACTCGCTTTCCTTGGAGGATCACAGAGATCATCAGAATGAAGATTTCGAGTGGGAGGAAGTTGATGGCCGCGTGGATGAAAGAGAGGTGTTGAGCATGTTTCTCGATGAGGATGATGACGACGATGAGGCCTCTGCATCGCTCTCGATCTCTCCGATCATTTCCCCAGAGGATATGGTTAGTGTGGACAGGGTGGTCGGTTCGGGAAATCTCGAGTGGGAGGTCTTGCTGGATGCCACTAATCTGGGACCGCTTCCAGACCCAGATCAAGCAGCTCGATACTTTGGTGGCGGCGGTGGTCATGACGACGACTATATCTACACAGCAGACTACGAGACGGTGTTTGGGCAGTTTGCTGAGATGGACACGGTGCTCACAACAGGTCAGCCTCCTGCTTCCAGATTAGTGGTCGAGAGGCTTCCCTCTGTCGTGGTGACCAAGGAAGACGCGGGGAGTGATAACTCGACCTGTGCTGTCTGTAAGGATGACATGAGTGCTGGGGAGAAAGCAAAGCTGCTGCCTTGCACGCACCGGTATCACGAGGAGTGCATCGTGCCTTGGCTTAATATTAGGAACACCTGCCCAGTCTGTAGGCATGAATTGCCAACCGACGATCCCGATTACGAGCGGAGGAAGATGGTGGAAAGATCTTCTGTTGCTGTTGCTGCTGCTGTTGCTGCTGGCCAACACCATGCGATTACGATGTGATGGGTATTGACTGACCTCATCGTTGTTTGCTGCTGGGGAAGTCTCATTCCCACATTTGTGTGTCTGTGTCAGGTAAGGAGTTACTGGCTTGCTTTTGTGATGATTGTAGTAATAGTAGAAGAATGCGTTTTACTGTATTGTACTTTCTGAAGGGTTGTGTTTTCTGGTTTTGTTCTTGTTCCTGGAATAATGTGAGAAATGGTTTGTTGTTCTTGAAAAATTATCTGCCTACGATGATTGAACAACGAGTTATGCAACTTATATGTTATCAGTATTTATGGAATGCTTGATGCCGATGGAGTTTGACATCATGCATGGGCCATGGCCCATGGGAACATATTTTTCAACTGAGTTTCTGAAATGCTTGATGTCACTGGAGTTCTGCAACAATTCTTGAAATATATTTCTTACGAGTGTATGCAAAATCTAAGATATTATATTAGGTTTACTAGAAGTGGCGCCTTCTGCTGGCTTGTCAGAGCAGGAAAGAAGAGGCCTCAAGACATTGTGTGGAAGCCCAGTTAGGCCCAGTTGAATGGAAACCAAATCACGAGCCCGTGTGCACAGCCCAATTCCCAACCCCCATTTTTTTCGTTTGAAGAGGAAGCCCGATCAAAAACCCAAAGGCCCAAGAGGCCCGTGTCCGGTGTCCCTTCTGTAGCGCCTGGAGAGTTCCCCAAAATACTTGGACGTCAACTACTAAGCCGTGTTGCTTCCAAATCACCGCTTTTTCCCCCCCCAACCGCCCTTCCCCGGGAATAACCGTGTCTTTCTTCTACTCCCTTTTCTTTTCTTTTTCCCATTTTCTAGATTAATCTACAATTTTTTTTTGGATTTTAATTTATCAATTTTCTGACTCACGCCAAATTCACGACTGGTTCCGTGTGCCAGCTCAGCAAGCAAACCTCTCACCCCCTTTTTTCGTGTACAAGCTAAGCAATCCAATAACCCTCTTTACCTTCCCCAATACGCTCTCCCTAATTCTAATTCCCTTTCCCCAGCAAACCCTAATCCCCTTTTCTATAAATACGCACCCCCGCCAATCTCCCACTTTTCCCCCCTCCTTCCATTCCTTCATCTTCATCCTCCAGCCAAAACAAGTTTTCTCTGCAACCATCCCAACCATTCCCCTGCAGCAGCTAGAATCACTATATGCGAAAGGAGCAATTAGATTAGAATGAGCAACATTCCAACATCCCTCACAGACTCAGCACTCACGCTCTTCAACCTCGCCATCTCTTCCTCCGATCCCTGGCCTTTCTCCGCCTTCTTATAATCCCCTGCCTCCGCTTCCAGATTCCGTTTTCTGCCAATCCGGTTCCAATTTTTTGTTTTGTTTGTTTGTTATGGGGAGCAGTAGCGTAGCGTCGGAGGAGACTATTATTGACGCGATGCCAGCCGCAGCTGCCGACAACAACGGCGGCGGCGGCGGCGGAGGTGGAGGAGGGGGGAAGCACCACCACCACCACTTCCACATCCACTTCCCGCACCTGGATCTGTTCCACCACGGCGGCGGGCCGAAGAAGGGGATGGTGGCGATCATCGTCGGAGAGGAAGGGGAGGAGCAGCAGAGGTTCGTGGTCCCGGTGATCTACATCAACCACCCGCTGTTCATGAGGCTGCTGAAATCGGCGGAGGAGGAGTTCGATTTCCACTACCAGAAGGGGCCGATCACCATCCCCTGCCACGTGGAGGAGTTCCGGAGCATCCAGGGCTTGATCGACCGGGAAACCAACAACCTCCACCATCATCATCACCACCACCTCCTCTGCTTTTGGGTTTGATTGATCGATTTGATTCGCCATTGTTACAACGAATACACATACTTATTATGTAATTATTTTTTGGTTATTCAGCAACATTTATCGATTGTTGTTATTGTTATTAATTCGATTTAATTGTGTAAAGCTACCGCGTGTTGTTATCTTTGTTGATCAATTTTGGTTCATTAATTATGTTTGGTGGGGAATATAGAAGAAGGGGAACAAGTGGGGGAGGTGGCGGTGGTGTTTGTGTGGTTGCTAGATTGCTGTGAACGTAACAATCTTATGTTGGTGACAACGATGATGATGACGACGACGTGGAAAAAGCAGAGGATAACAAAGGAGAGGCAAAAAGGAAAATGTGTGCGGTTGCGATGATGAATTGCGATGCTTGTTTGATGTATCTTAAAAAAAAAAAGGGTGGTTCAAGCGGTGAGAAATGATGGTTGGTGTGATATAGTGATCATAGACATTACAATATTCATATTCATAATCGTCCTGATCAGTCGAGTTCAAGGTCGATAAATGTATCATAAAGCATAAATCGAAGCAGGTCGACTTATATGAATATGTAATTTAAAAAGAGAACATTTGAAACATAGAATTTTTCATCAAATTACAACACGATAAATGTAGATAATGGTTGAGAAATGGGCGATTACCTATGCATGCCATGCTCAACCCAGCATACAATACAGAGTGTTACCTGCCCAAACAAGTCAAATAGATCAAGTAAAATGGGTCGTATAGAAATTATCATTCTTTTATGTGAAACGGAAAAAAAGTAAAGGTGGTTTTTATAAAGAGAAATGTTAAAGGTTGTTTAAGATTTTGCTTTTGCTTTTATAACTTTTGTTGATGCAATTTGGGGTGGGAAGCCAAGTCTTCCAACTTTCTTGTAAGTGGGAGAAAAGTAATTGGTGCCAAGTTGGGATGTCATGCAAACGTATGGCACACGTTTGGCCTTTGGGCTTATTGGAGGGTTTGTTTGTTGTTGTGGTTGGATGAGAGCCGTTTGGAAGGAAAAGGCCAAATACGTACCCAACGCCCTCAAACCTTCCTTCTTGCTTGCTTGTGTAGTTGCGTTTGCTTGGTTGGGAATTGGGGCCTTTTTTCCCCCTCCTTTAAAAGTCACATTCTATTCCTTGCTCCTTCAATTTTGCTTTTCTATAAGATTAGGATGCTTTTTTTTTTTTTGTAACAAACATTGATAGGAGTTTGATTTGAAGTTGCAAGTGAAGTCATTGGCCTATATATAAGAGGTTGAAACTGATTCGGGGGAGGTGTTATCGCTATACGAGAAGATGAATTGATAACAACTATATGTTTATGAGTTTGATGATTCATTTGAGAAATGAAATTCAGGAGAGTTCTGATTCAGACTCTTATCATAATGATATTGTAGACAACCAGTTTCCTAAATTTGCACACTACGAAAAAATTATTTTATTTCTATATTATTAATTTGTAGTAAATGTATTTTACTTATGAATTACTCTAATGAGAAATGGGGTGTTTGTTGCTTTAAAAAGAAAAAAAGCAAACGAAAATGGCAACTTCCATGTAGTTGTGGCATCATCATGTTTTGCTGTCTTCCATATCCAATAGCACAATAATTTCACTTTGAGAAATATGAACACTCTGTGTAGGGTTTTCCAATCCCACAATTTCTTCCTTGGTAGAGAATCGGTTTTCATCGGTCAAGCATTAAATTATCTAATCCACATCACCCGCAGCTCCTAATTATTTGTATAATGTCGACTGGCGATTAATAGTATCATGGCATATTAATGTCTATGTTGGCTCATATTGGCTGACCTCTACAAAATAATGCTAAATTGATTATACTTTTAACTACTAAATCATTAGACCAAAAGGATGATGATGTTAGTTGTAAGATCGATAAAGTTAGTCGACTATTAGTCAGTTAGGTCGATGTTCAAGAAACGGTTAAGGGCTCAAGGGTGGTTTAGTAATTTATTAGGTTTAGTAGATTTAGGGTTTTGAGTCAGAGTCTATATAACAGGAGCGACGATAGAAAGTGGTAGCATTATTAGGCAAGTGGTGCGTGATAATTTTATGTTGCTCTGATATTGCAATGGTTCAACAAATCTCTTCAAATTTTAAGGTGCGTCATAATTTCCTTCACCTACCTCCGACCAACGAGGCCCACGTGCTAATGTGGAATATGCAATCTAAGTCATAATATTATTTTCTCTGGCATAATATATATTATGCTATTATTTTATATCTTAGTGGTTAAAATATAATGTATTTTAAAGTTATTCAATGGTTCAACCTCGACCAACCCAATTAGTCCAATTTTTATCATTTCAAATATATATTATATAATTATTCAATATCATAATGATCAAATTATAGTGTATTTTACAGGAAATCGTTTGGTATTTGTTAGTAAAAAAACTAAACAGAATGATCTATTTGGTTATTTTAAACATTAAAACGATCCTAAACATTTTCAGTTCCTTTTGAATTTCTATGGTTTTATTCCCGAATAAGTGATGTGCAAAATGGCGAATTGCAGTCATCTTTTTTCTTTCATTATTTTTTATTTTCAAATAGAAAGTTTAAAAGTAAAGAATAATTAGAATTTAGTATGGGTCGGTCAAACAGGCTAAATTTCAAGTTTTGGCCTATTTTGATCAAGTCTAATTTATAATCACATGCTTCCCTGATACTCGATAAAAATCTCAATCCAAACCAGTTTGGCAGGTGAGTCCGTGTTTACCACCATTTTCTAGGGATACGACAATGGTGGTTCCTATCCCAAATCGTGTTGTTCGTTCTTGATTTTCTTAGATTTTATCATGGCCTGACAAAAACCAGAAAGCACAATGACGACAAGATGAAATTTTTATAACGCAAATTAATCGGCCAACGGGCCGAGTAAAAGCTAGCAACGATTGTGAGATGCTCATTCCCCGAAAATCGACGAGATAGGCAATTTTTTATTCGATTTTCTGGAATTCGGTTTCTATAAAACTTACATCACCTCATCATATTACCAGAAACAATATTGTTTCACAAGGTAACAGGTACTTGATTTTGGTTCATAAGGCCGATTTTTTATTCGTTGCATCATTCATGTCTTTTTCCTGCTAAAATTCATTATTTTTATCACGTGTTTCCCAAAAAAAAAAACTATACAACAATAAGATATACACCCTATTACATTATCAAATTTCATACCTCACCTTCTTCCGGCCAACTGGCCGGGGCCCACACTAGTATACATTAAATACCCCATAGTATAATCTCATTCGACAATCAGGATTGTAATCAATCGGACAAGAATATAGAAGTGGTCTATCTATTCGTATAAATTATTGATCCTATTGTATTGAATTTTGTAAACCTGGAAAGGCAAACCATCTGATTTTAGTTTTTCATTTTATCCTCAAAACCTTCTAGATTCAGATGTGCAACCAATTCAATTGAGCACCAAAACAAAATGATTGTCAATCTCTACCAAATGGTCCTTGAATGTGTGGACTGAGTGAAAGGGAGTGCAATTATATCATATTCATATATAGAAATGGACCCAAATTTTGGCAATTGCAAATACTTAATTAATTTGTTGCCGTCGTGCGCGTGGTGGCCGGAGTCACGTCACCGGACATCATCATCGCATTCTCCTGGCGTGGTGCAGAAAGGAATAAAAGAAGGGGTTCATATTTAGTGTTAGTGGTTGATTAATGGCAAATCGGCAAAGAGGGGTTAGGTTGGGTGTCCAAGTTTCAGGGGTTGGTGCAACACACAACGACGTCGTGCTGAGGTAATAACTTACATAATTCTATTGTCCTCCGGCAGACCCACAAATGCCGACGGCATTAGGTTGCCCTTGTTGAATGGATTGAATTTATAGATGGGTGAATTTATGTATCAAAAAGATTGGATGAAAATGAATTAGTAGATTCATGTATTTGATCAAATGGATTAGTGAATTGAATCAATTTTATTTTTATTTTTTATGGAAGCCTGTGAGTATATTATTAATCAGAAACTGCTGTTACATCGTCCAGTCGAAGCTGATCAATCAAAATCAAGGGTGGTCTATCAACCCAAACAAGAATTGAATCAAATCTACGTGTCATATATAATTGGATCAATATGCAAATTTTAAAAATGTCACGATAAAAAATTTAGGTACCAAAATGAACTTTTCCAAAATTATTTTACTTTTAACAAATTAAATTTAAGCATGAAAATGTAAAATATAAAAAAGGATAGGAGCTAAACTATAACTTACCAACTATCCATGAATCCGCCAATCTGATTGGTTTTTTTTTTTTTTGGTAGAAAATCTGATTGGTTTTAGATTAAATGTATTAGATCTAATTTGATTGCATTTAATTGGATATTTTACTGGATGGACTGGATTAGATTGGTGGATTGGATACGAAATTTCCACCTGATCTAGAGGGTGGTATTGCATACGGGGTTGGATTAGTATATAATGATAGGATATGTTGAACCGCTCATCCTCGCACGATATCAACTGTCGAATACACGATTTGCGTCTTACGTAATCTGGGATAGACAAAAGTCTCGAGCATAGCATCTGCAAACGAAATGGACCAGACGACAGACTGAAATATGTGCAGTGCAGTGGAGGAATATGTGCCTCTCGAATCATATGGTTCGGCGAAGCGCGAGAAAAAGGAAACAAAAGCAGGGCATGTGACAAACAAACAGCTATATAAACCTTAAAATCTCCAGCAGCTTCGGGCCCATGAAATGAAAGACTTAGAGATGCGGCGGCCGTCTCTGTCTCTCTTTTTGCAGTCCCTTTCCTTCCACTTGAAGCAAAGCATCGGTGCTGAAATCAATCGTATTCATGCATGTCGGCCGGCCGGAAAATGGAAGTCATGCAGCCGCCGGGGTGAAGAGAGCATGCATGGGCTACCTTTTTTTTTTTCTTCCTTTTCTTTCTTCACTGTGTCGAGCTTTGCTTGACCGACGTCGAACCATGATAACTCTGCACCTCATCTTAATCAGTTAGATACCTAATAGGCATTCTTCTTCTTCAAGGCGTTGAGCTTTGCTAGACCGATGTCGAGTCATGAACACTCTGCACCTCGTCTTAATTAGTTAGATACTCAATAGACTTTTCTCTACAACATCAAGGATAAGTCTCGATCGAGTCATTACCCTTAACATATGCCCTCGACCCACACTCCCGAGTCCCGAGGGTCTAGTATTGACCTAACCTAAGTTATATTCACCTTTTTTCTTCTTCTCATGTATGGTTTGTTTGAGGATAAATCTTTTTTATTTTAATTTCTAAATAAACCGTAGAATCTCTTCAAATTTGTGGACATGCCAAATTCATAATTAGTTGTTGGATTCCAAATTAAACGACTTGTTGAACCAAATCTTCCACCAGACGTGACGCTAGATAATGCAATGTCATCAACTCTAGTTAGAATTACTTACAAATCAGAAGTTCATGTATCAGACTGACTTAATATAAAGGTTTCATATACCGACATGACCATAAATAACATCCATGTACCGTAATAGCCTAATTATGAAAGTTGGAGGGTCAAATTGACCTTCGTGTCAATCCCTAATTATTAAACGACTTGTTGAACCATTAGAACAATGCTTAACGTGTCTTTTGTTAGGTTCCTACTTGACTTTGTTATCTTTGCTAACAGCCAAAGATAACTTCCCAAATGGAAACACGCAATGAAATTCCTCAATTTAGGCTACCTATGAGTTTGTGTGTTCTGAATTCTGATACAGGCCAGACAACATGCATGGACACCGCAAACTTGGGCCAGCTGGCCCAGTTCTTGATTCCTTGCAGGATCCGTCAGAAAGCTGCAGGGAATTCCAGCACAAGGCAGCAAAGCACGATGGCTGTCCCTAAACTCTGTAGGGCAGATCGAGTTTGTGGTATGGTGTTTCTGTTTGTGCGAACGATGCAAACAGCTCTGCAGAATCAGAAAACTCACTTGGCATTGCCGTCGGTGCAGAAATCCGACACCATCGCCGGCATCATCCAGCGGCCCCCACGTGTACCCTAACAATGCGCCAAGATTTTGGGCGGTTTCCAACTTTCTGTTGACTTTCATCGCAAGAAATGTAAAAAAAAAAAACTACGACAATGTGTAAAACAAAGACCTCTACATGACATAATCAAAAGCTCAGTTGAAATTCAGTAAAGCTTACACACCATCAGGCTTTCTCATTGATCCCTGAATCTGGATGCATGAGCTAACCTTTGACCCGAACACTAAGACAAATAATAAAATACCGACACCAACCTAAACCCATTGAACTGTCGTCGGTTCAGACCAGATCGGGTCCCAGATTAATGGTGTGACGGACAGTATTTTTGTTAGGTTTGAGTTACATGAATTTCATATTGATTATTTCCTCCTCCTTGTGTATAGCGGGTTGCAAAATAACTCCTTTCTCGAGAATGTTGGGAATGAATAGCTTTGAAAGCTATATTGAATTAATTATCCAGTATCCTTTCTAGATACGGAAATAGAAGGATAATTAATAAAAAGAATATTATGGGAGTAATTATCTTCCTAATTAAAATGTGACTTATTCCCAAAGAAAGATGGAATATTCTAGGTTTTCTGCTCCTATAAATAGCAGACCCCTAGACCCTCTAAATACACCTCAGAGAGTAGAAACATGAGAGAGAGTGAGTTCATAGAGCTCCGGTTTTTCGCACAAAACCGATGAGCAACAAAATTAGACTGGCTGTTTTATCCTGAAGGCGACCGGCTGATAGTCTGTTGTGCGCATTACGAGGCAGTGCCGCGGACGTCTTAAAGAGAGCGACCTAGTCCGCGACTCAGCCAGATTCGGTAACCCTAATTTTTCATGTTCGATTTCTAACAGAGAATACTTCACACTTCACCAACTCAAACTGATTTTATCATGGGAATTTCAAGTATCGGATCCAGGACAACATAATCCTATGCAATAACTAGTCTCAAGACTCGACTCACTCGTCACCTCCATCATCGATATCCCTCAAGAGTTAGACAAAAACTTAGCACAAAACGTTTTTAATGATATTATTGATCGGTTTTTATCTCAAACTATATATATGGGTAAGTATCAAAATAACGTATTATATACCCATCAATACAAATATGATTACGATTATAAAACCGTGGTTCCAAAATAATATAGGAAAGCTGTCCCCTCCTAAACCAACTATCTCCTACTTATTTTAGTCTTTTAGAGTTATAGTAGTAAGAGGTACTATACTATAAGAACAAGTTTGAAGCTTAGAGAATAGAGTCTTTCCAAATATCTGAAGATGCATGATTGCATTTAATAATACATAATTTTTTTTCTTTTCTACAGACAGGTTAGGTATCAACTATCATCATATCCCAAAATTTGTTCATTTCTTCGACATAGACGTGACAATTAAGAACAGGAAAAACAAGAGAAGAAACCAAAGCTTCAACTTCCAATCATCATGCTCTTGCCTTTGCCTTGAAAATGTCCATCACTGTCACTCGACTTCCTTTCCTCGCACTCTATCACAACCTCCACAGAAGTAAAGGGAGAACAGCTACAAGTCAAAGGACACTCGTATTCCCCCTCCAAAACCAGAAAGAATAATGGCAAGCAAATCAAAAACCGATTCTCTACCCAGATAATCCTATAGCAGCTAAATAACCCGTCTTCCTATCTGGGTCTGGTGTTCGTACTCCGTATCGTCACACCACGCAAGAATTTAGTATATCCAAGAAAACTCAACCTCCCATCCGAGGTTCTGATACAGTCTGCAAGCAAGGAATGAGCTGCAGGCCCCAAGTTCATTTCCTGCATTTGGCGAAGAAACAATGTTACATCCCAAACTCGAATATCAGCCACCACGAGCATGGTTTTGTGAAGGGAACTGTTCTAAGAGGACTTACCAGTGCCAGTTCCTGCACCGATATGACTCGGTTTCCTTCTTGTTCGAAGTGATCAAATGCTGTTTTTGCTATCTTGTCCCACCCGTCATGGGCTTCGAGTTGATATGTACTGATAGCCGCCGCACAGAATTCTTCAAACCCCATTTTCTTGTAGGAGAGTGGCTCAAGCTGATGATAGAAGTAGGTGCAAGGTAAAAAAGTTAGCCTCGTACATTAAGTATAAGTCATAAGTTCATACATGCTCTACAGTAACAGCAAGAATAGAATTCTCGTGTTCGTTTAAACTCACCACATGTAGAATGTCAATGACTCTAGACTCCTTCATGGCATCAGTCACATTTCTGGTTAATGCCTGCAAACCAGAGGGGAAAAAAAAGAAGAGTTTTGAATAAAACACTACATGTTTCTCCATAAATCATGTGAAAGAGATTTTAGAAGAACATGGTTTTCATGTGAAATAAAACACTGAAAATGACAGATCTGTCACTAACCGCTCTGAAATTGTTAAGGGACACATGTCCATCTTTTGGTTCTAGGAGCTCGAATTGAGCCCTCAGATAGACAAGTTCGTCCTCAGGAATTCCTTTTGAAAGAGCCTGCATTTGTATTTAAAAGGCATGAAAGAAATGTCAGAGTCGACCACCCCGTTATAAACATGTTCTGCAATGACATAGACAACTTATCTCTTCTTTCCATATGTATGGAAAGAGTACGACTGAAAAGTTCATGCATGTATAACTAACTACCTTCAATGCTGCACGTCTGAAAGGTGTGGCCCGAACATATGACTTGACTGTCTTGAATATAAAGATATCCAAAGGCACCTCTTGAGCTTCACTTCTTATCCATGGATGAGCTGCAAAATAGAGACAATTAAACCATTCCGTTAAACTAGGGAGCAGCATTCATCTATTCAGCATTTGGATACTGAGTAGTGAACATTGCTGTGTTATCATAAATAACAAATACTACTTACAAAGAGCCTGAGCTGCTGTCATTCTTTTTCTGTGGTCCTTGTTCAGAAGTCTTTTTACAAAATCTTTAGCTTCTGGTGATACTGAGGGCCAGGGTGAGTCATTGAAGTTAGGATCAGCTCTCAACACAGACCGAAAGATCCCTGATTCAGTCCTAGCCCAGAAAGGTCTACTCCCACACAGTAATATGTAAGTTATCACACCAACACTCCACATATCAGCCTCAACGCTGTATGATCGATGGAGCACTTCTGGTGCCACATAGTATGCACTTCCAACAATATCATTGAGGCGTTGTTCTGCAAACAAGACAATGTCCAAAGTTGTGCATTGCTTCAGAATAACAGTTCAAGGCAATGAATGTGAATGAACTCCAAGAGAAGATGATCTGGTTGTCAACAGTATAAAAGAAAACAACAAAGAGGTCTTTCAACTGAATTGATGACGTATTTGCTAGAAGACGGATACTATCCTGGATTTTACACAAAATAGTCTCATTGATTGAATGAAATCGAGAGCAAAAGAGAACGAATTTCACTACCGCTAGACCAAAATTGAAAACCAATACACGGTGAAACCTAGAAGCCAATGTAACTTATTAAACAACGAGAATCAAAGACACTTTGTAAGTCTCCAAAATCAGTAGCATAGTCATCAATCACGACAGATTCAATTACAATTGTCAACCTCACTTATCACTGAACAACTAAAATTTAACTTGAGGAACTTGGACATATCTACTTTTCACTCTATACTTCAACTTTGACTGCCTAAGTTCACTAGTATGGAAATGATCCACAACGCCCTTACCTTAAACCTAACACTTAGAAGGTGCAAACAGATATGAAAAGGTGCAAATACTTAACACATGTTTGTTTCAATGAACTGAAATTCCAATCCTGATACCAGTGTTGCTCGACATGAAAATCCCAATTGATGATTACAGTAATTTGCAGTATAACAATTGTTACCCGGCCTAACGTAGTCAGATAGACCAAAATCAATAATCTTCATTGGAGCATCCTCATCTTTAGTGGTGAACAGAAAATTCTGCAAAAGGTGAGTATTCAGTTAGAGGTTGAGAATAAAAAATAGAAGAGACATGGTAGAAGATCTTCAAGACACTTTCATAAACTAATTTGTTGTTCAATTAGGCTACAAAATGGAAAGCAAAAAAACATTCCATACATGTCAGTATAGCTGCACACAGTACAATCATATTGTTATACCTCAGGCTTTAGATCACGGTGTACAACACCTTGAAGATGGCAATAGGAAACTACACCTAAAATTTGAACAACGATGGCTTTTGCATCCTCCTCAGTGTACCTTCCACCCCTACAATACAAACATAACCCAATATGTCAATTACTTCTAAATAAAGGATCAAACTGACACTTTCATCATAAAACCATTCCAACTAACATGGATAAATTTTAAATACATTAAGACTTTTTTCTCATTCAGAAAGGAGGACTAGGAATTGCTCTATTACCTCGATAAAATTCTGTCAAGAAGTTCTCCACCTTCACACAATCTGACAGCAAACACGTTTAGATTGCTTTAGAAACATTTTGAATTACACAAGGCAAGCATGCCAACTAATCTCATTTCTCATATAGTCTTCCAGGCTGACCAACGTATTAGCAACATTCAGATTTTTTTCTTTGACCCACAATGAAAGATATGACAAGACAGATAGCCAGTTTATGTAAAAGAGTGAATAAATGTACATACTCCATAACAATGTAGACATTGTTGCCATCCTCAAATGCATCATGAAATCTTATCATGTGCTTATGCCCACATAATGACTTCAATATTTTTACCTCCCGGCGAACATCTTCAATGGCAATTGCTGTCGTCATCTGCCATTCAGAACTAGTTAGTGATAGAAAATGTTTATGAAACCCAATGTGCACACTTAACAAAACTAAGCAACCATCAATCAGGAGCATCAGCAAGGCCAAGCTGATAGAGCCAAAGCTAAATCGTTATTATAAGTAAATATGATATTCAATGATAATATGAATACAAATATTTGTCATCCCTTCCAGTTGATAACATGTCCATTATCTTTCCATCTTCTTTCTAAATTGCCAAGTTCATCTTTTCCCCTTCCAACTAAGAAAACAAACTCTCAAGGTGAACAACACATAATTCCTTTGGGAGTGTTTATAAAACCCTTTACCCAGACATACAAGCAAGGTCTCAGAGATAAGAACAATCCACGATTTTCTCACTCGCCCTTCTTATGTCAACTGTTTTGTTCTGATCTACAAGTATGATGTTAGACCAGAGCACCACATTCCTAATAGTGATGACAGCATCCACCGCCATAGTTTGACAACACAGAAAAAATTTGATCAACAGACACTAAAATGACTTGTTCCATCCAGACATGTATAGCTGTCTTCCTTGACCAAAACTCAAAAGGTGATAGGTACAGCTTACCATCTTATCCTACATATTTCTTTCCAAAACCTCGGATCCGTCAGTATTTCTTAACACATACAAACTCCTCATCCAGAGACTTCCAGCTTTAATGCCCCAGAGAGGACAGCTGTTGATGCTTCATGCCAGCATTCCATTGCACATTACAGTTCAGGATAAAAACTGTTAAATTCCTCCAAGTTTCCGGGAAGATGGAGTGACTCCACAGGCAACTTCTTATCTTCACTCCCGTGAAAGCGAGAGGAGCAAGAAAACAAAGGGAAGGAAGAAAAAATCAGGGAGAGACCCATCAAACTCTACAACACCATTTGCAACCTTGTTGCTGTTCCTAAAACTAAAAGATCATATAATCAGCTGAGGAATGTGACTACTCATGCTGCAAAATTCCAAACAACCACCCTCTTAAACTCTCAAAATGAATTTCTATCCCCTTGAAACGTGGAGCTAAGCTGGACTGTTAACAATCTTAGTCCACAGCAGCTGACCAAAGGCAGCACAGTGATCAATCCTCAATTCCTAAGTTCGTTTTGGAAAGTTCATAAACCAACCAAGTCAAGCAAAGCACGAATCCCAGTTCCAGAAACAAACAAGTGAATCACGGAAAAGCCCAAATTGAGACGCATTCTCCCCAAGTTGCATTCTCAATCGCTTAAAAAAGTCAAACCCAGAGACCACAATCCGAATTGACCAATCCATCATGAATCGATCAGTGGGAAAAGGAACAGGAAAATAGAGGCGAGAAAATTGGGAGAAAGAGGGAGGTGCGAAAGAGAGAAGAAGAATTGGGACGGCATTCTACGCGTTAGTAGCATACTACCTTGGCCTTGGAAATGACCTTGACAGCGACGGACTCGCCCTTGAGCTCGCCTTTCTTCCCCTTCGCCCAGCAGGTATGCCCAAAATGCCCCCGCCCAACCTCCTTCCCGAGCTCGTACTTGGCCGCAATGTTCTTCGGGTACCCGAAATTCTTGTCCAGCGGGACCTCGCTCTCCTCCCCGCCACCACCGCCGCCGCCCTCCTCGTCCTCCGGAATCGGACCCTGCTTCGGAGTCTTCTTCGTCTGGCCCTTCTTCCGCATCATCCTCATGATCGGCTTGGCCGGAGAAGGCGGCGGCAGCGGCCACTTGAACTTCCTCCCCGGGGTCCCGGACGGCGAAGGCGACGGCGGGACCCCGTGCGGCAGGGGGCTCTGGAACGGACTAGCAGCATACGAACTCCCGTTGTTGGAATCCCCGGAGACCGGAGTCGTCGGGACCCACGACGGCGACTTCGCCGCACTCTGGTGGTTGTTGCTGCTGTTGTCGTTACTCCTCCCCGGAGGTGCTTCATTGTTACTGAAAGAGGTCGATTGTGGCGCCTGATCGGACAACACTGCTCCCTTGGCACAGCACTGCCCCATCCCCGCCGACGCCGGAGGCTAGGAAATTCGAGGGAGCAGGTCAATTGGGTTCTGATCGGAGGGGATCAAGAAGAGATGAGGGTGAATTCCCGGAGCATTACTCAGGCGGCCGGGGACGGTGTGACCGAGAGGAAGAGGGGAAATAGGGAGAAGGTTGGGAGTTGCTGGTGTGAGTTTTCAAAGCATTTGGGGGAAAAGTTTTCTTCTTTTTCTTGTTTGTATGTAAGATTTCGGGTTTGGGCGCTTTGAAGAGGTAAGAGAGAGAGACGACAATGGAAGGCGAAGGAAAGGAAAGCAGGAAGAAGAAATAGGAGAGAGAGAGAGAGGAAAAAGGAAATGGAAAAGGAGAGAGAGAGAGAGTGGCAGGCTGGCCTGTGACATCGAGCTATACGTAATTAATGTGGCCGTTGAACGAAATTAAAAATAATTTCCGAGTAACAAAATGTTGAAATTTACAGTTTTCAGGGATTAATAAAAGATAAAGCGAAAGTGGGCTTGCTCAGCGCCGGCCTCTGGTTCGGTTTATCAGGGCCCAGTATAGATATACTCATGGAATTGGGCCTGATAAATGGCGGGAGCCCATTTTACAGTTTCATGTTTTCTTTCCTCATCGCACGCAACTCTTCCCTATTTACACATCAAGCTCCTCGTAAAAACGTATATTTACTAGCAAAACCCCCCCTCGCTCCAGCAAATCTCAATTGGGCTCCGTTCTCTCGCTCTCTCACGACTTACAGGCCTCTCTCAAGTCTCAACACAAGTCGGCTCCATTTCTCCCTCTCCCGCTTCGATCCCCATTTCCATGTCATTCGTCGTTTCAGCTCCCTCCCCCCGCGGCTAACTCGGCCGATTCTAGGGTTTCTTCTTGGTATCCCTCTCTCTCTCTCTTCATTTCGCGCGCGTTCTCCTAGGGTTTTCTCTGCTTCATCGTCGCCGTGGAGGAGGGGGTTTGGGGATTGGAGTATTTGCCGGGGGCTTCCTAGATTGAAAAATGGAGGCCGCCGCTGGTGTCGCCGCCTCTCGCGGGGGCTCTGTGCCGATGAGTTCGTCGTCGAGGAAGGAGTGGCGTGCGGTGTCGGACCATCATTCTGCTCGAAACCCCAGCGACGAGGTGGGGGGGCTTTTCTTGGTGTCAACTCTTTGTATAATTTGCATCCGAGCTTGTTTTTTTTTTTCGTTTATTGGAGATGAATGTAGGAATTGGACGGTCGTGAACTGCAGTCCATGTCTGCATGTGTGGTAGAATTGCTTCTTTGCGGACTATGAGCTGTTTGTTATCCTTGAAACTGCTGTTTCAGTAGTTTAGGCGTGTTGAGCTGGCCCTCTATTTGCGGATTAGCAGCCTCTATGTGGTCTGTATGATTAGGGAACCTTTCTCCCAGTACTGAATTGCTGAAATTAATTGCCTTTCTTGAACTTGATATGAAATCTGATTTTGATGATACGTGGCATAAACTTTAGAATCCTATAAGCTCACCATCTTAATAAAATAACTAGATGTTGTTGATCCTAGGAGATGGAATGTTCCAAGTTAGAGAAGTCAGATCAGAGAACACTCTGTGAAACCGAACTTGACATTTCTAAGCCAGGCTTTGATGAATGTTCAGAGTAAAGAAAGTGTTCTTGTTTGTTATTTGTCAAGGTGCAGCATGGGAGAGGGCCAGTTGGTGTGGATTTCTGCTCTATTAATGTCGATGGGAGTTTGGACAATGACATTTTACTTCAGCGGGTTCATTCCTTTGCTACACAAAGGGAAGAATTGCAACAAATGGAAATTGAGTTAAGAGCACAGATGATTGCTAGATCGGAGATATTGGAGATACAAAATAGCTTTGATGCTCAAATCAAAGAACGTGAAGATTCTGCTGCGAAGCTTCAGGTGAGCTATTATACTTGCAAGGGTGTGAATTTTGGTAATTTTCCACTATGACATTCTGTTTGCCGTCAGCTGCATAGTTTGTATGACGGTTTTGGCCGGTGGAATAATGAAGTAGCTTTTGAGAAAGACAACAATGGGGCTGCAACTTTTTCCACCTCTCAATTGTGGATATATATTTCGTTTCAGGAAAAACTCCGTGAGAGAGAGCAGGCAATTCATGACCTTGAAAGAAGAATTGAAGAGACAGACAGGGAGCTACATGCTGTGAAATTGGATAATGAAGCGGTTTGTGGTCTTCTTTCTCTGGCTCTTACATCAAGTGCTGTTTGTTTCCTGTAAATTGTGTGATATGATTTTCTTGTTTCTGCAGGCATGGGCTAAAGAGGACCTTCTCCGAGAGCAAAACAAAGAGCTTGCTACTTTTAGGTGAGTGTATGAGAGGCACTTTTCCTTTAATCATTACCCCCTCTCCCCTTTCTTTTGTTGGTTGTTTGGTTAAGTATTACCCTCAGGATGTAAATGCGAAGGAGAAGTATGCTATCTTATTATGAAATGTATTATGTTTATATTGAAATCACTACTTGAAATCTGTATGATGACTGTCAGACTCACTTCTCTATCTGGTCTAGAGGTGTTTTGGAAGAACAGCCTGTATGTTTTGGTTCTAATGCTATAAAGCCATTATTAGATATATGTGCATTTCTCTGTTTCTTCTTTCGATCTGAAATTTGAAAGAGTTGCAATTTACTATTCCTTGTGCAGAAGGGAGCGTGATCACACTGAGGCTGAACGTGCACAGCACATGCAGCAAATACACGAGTTTCAAGAACACATCCAGGATAAAGAGAGACAGATTCTTGAGTTGCAAGAACAGGTTAGTTCACATATGTTTCTCATGTGGTCATGCTCTGACATTGGCTATCATAGTTTAGAGTTTTGATACTCTGTATCTATTCTACATTTTTTTCTTCTTTTTTCCTGTAAGATCCTTGAATTGAATTAAAGGAATCCTGGTTGTAGTCTTTAAGATTATTTTCCATGAGGCAAGGTCATCTAATGCTTTTTTCTTTCAGCATAGGGTTGATCAGGAGACTATCTACCTGAAGGACGAACAACTGAAAGTTTGGATTGCACGTGTTCAGGAGATGGATGCCTTGCAATCTAATTTACAGGCTGAACTGCGTGAACGGATTGATCAATATAATCAACTGTGGCTTGGATGTCAAAGACAGGTTTGTTTGCTGTGATGTCTTTCTTAAACTTTGCTGGTTCGTAGGGAATTAGGATTTAAATTACTACTTGAAAATGATTGTGAAACTGCTTATGGCAGTGTATGTAATCTGTTTTTATTTCCTTGCTTCATCTGTCAATCGAACAAACTAATTTATTTCTATGAAAGCTTAATTCAAATTGATGCTTTGTTATTTGGCGAGTGTGGGCTGACAACATCTGGATTTTTTGTTTCCTGGTTGACATTGCAGTTTGTAGAAATGGAGAGACTTCATGTACATACCATACAACAGCTGCAGATGGAGCTGGCTGATAGGACTGGATCCTATCTTGATGAGTCTCGGTTTTCTCAGACAAACTCAAAAGACTCGACTAAGTTTGGTCAGACTTCTGGAAACCAACTAGATGTAAATGGAAGTGGCACATCAAATGCTAATAATGGGGCACATTCGAATGGGGTTGCTGATAGTGTCTCATCATTTGCTTCCTCTGGAAATGCTGCAAATCAGGTAGGTTTGCCTTTCTTATTTAAACTGATGGCACATGCATATCTCATTAGGCTCAGTGTAAGTTGCTGCTGGAGTCAATGTGGTATTTCCTGTAGCATGCAACTTACCTCACCCGACATTTTCCATTATGTTGGACGTTCAAATGAATAGTTTTAGTTTTGCTAATTGCTGCCAACCTTTTGTTGATGAGATATGCAGTTACAGAAAATCTTTTTATATGGTGACAGATTAGAAAGCTTTATGTACACCTTCATTATATTTTTTTTACTGCAAGGTGATTAGTCATGTCCTCACTCCTCAGTTCATGCGCGTTGTCAATTCGTGACAGTATTTGTTTTACGTTGGATACTGTACTATTAGGAAAAAATGCTGGAACCATAGATTCCAGTAGATTCAGTAACTTTGAAGGGTCTGCAGTGAGTGGTTTAGGGGACAATGCAATGTTGGTGGAGCTTTATGCTGAAGAAATGGATGAGATGGAGAGTGAGTGTTGGTACCTGCTTGCTGGATTCTTACTTGGCTTGCTGTCTGTGATTGTCTGAGCTGGAGAACATGGAATAATACAATACACGGACACTGTTTTTATTTTGTTGAGCAATCATTATGTTGTCCGACTTGTGACTATCTCTCCCTTGTGCTGATCTAGCTTTCGAAGTTTCAGTGGGAAGTAAAATTTTGTTTTGTGTTTGCTGCCAGACCAACCATGTTGCTGGCATGCCGTTATCTCCATCATCTTTAATGGGAATGCCGACCTACATTCCACCTGGACAGATGACAGCGCTACATCCCTTCATTCTGCATCAACAGGGGATTCCTCATTCAATGCCATCACATGTTCATCCGTCTCAAGTGGGACATTTTCACTCAGTACCAGCAATGTCATCCCTCCCACAGTGGCAGACTCAGCAGGTTCTGTTAAATGTTTTCTTTTAAGCTTGTATTTATACTTCCCATGGTTTAGGTGCTGCGTATCTTCTTTTGCTTTAGGATTCGAATGTTTGTCTTGTAATTCTATTTGAATGACTTCTTTGCACTTACCTGCAGGCTGCCTCCGAAGCATCACAAGTGTCTACACAGAATCAACTCACACCATCTCAAAGTGAGCAGAACCTTGATAGACCTGAAACAAAATATTATGATATGTCTGTTAATGGACAAGGTTATCGGTCAGATTATCTAGATGTTCATCGAAATCAAGCGGCTCAGGCTGATTCCGTGATCTCATCGTCCATTGTTGACCAACAGGTACTTGTTAACATGTTTTATTTAGACCAAACAAGTAATACTACTTTGATTTCTCATTTGTAATGAAAGCACTATGCTTTCAGGTTCTTGAGTCTATTGATAGAAGTTATGTGGTTGCGAATCAGCCGGATCAAAACCTACAACATATTTCTGCTCAATTTAGTGAAGCATTACGGTTAAACTCTCTTGAGCAGAAAGTTGAACTGCAGGTTTGTGTGTTTGCCTTGATTTCTGATGTAATTTATCATTGATTCGGCATCAAAGTTTGATGCTTATAGATTAGTTGAACTTGAATTGGTGCAGGAACAAAATCTCATTAGCTTGACCAATGATGGATTAGAGAGGCCGATTGTGTCTGAAGAACAAGAGAGTTCTGTTGTTGATGTCTCACTTCCTGAAGCCTCGGTTCAATCGGCTAGGCTCACTGAAGCAGTCATCAATAATGGGGCTGGTACAACTGTCCCTGAAGCTTTTATCTCAACCGGTCAGGCCAATATTGCGACTGCTGCAAAGGCGTTGGAGCCTGCCCTTATTGACGAAAGATCTTTATTGGCATGCATAGTTCGCACAATTCCTGCTGGTGGTAGAATTCGCATAAACTCAACGGTTCGTTTGTAGTTGGCTATTAAAACCTTTTTATTTCTAATGTAGCACAAGCATATTCTTGGAGGAGTTGAAATAACTAGACTTTTTTTCCTGGTTCCATTGCAGCTACCAAATAGGTTAGGAAAGATGCTTGCACCTCTACATTGGCACGACTACAAGAAAAAGTATGGGAAGCTAGATGACTTTGTGGCTGGTCATCCAGAGGTATGGTTCTGGAATTACACTCCAAAGTGATTTTCTTTCTAATGAGCTATTGTCTTACCCTAAGACTTGTGGGCTGTGGGGGGTTTTCAGCTGTTCTTGATCGAGGGAGACTACATTCAGCTAAGAGAAGGGGCACAAGAGATGATAGCTGCTACAGCTGCAGTTGCTAAAGTAGCTGCTGCCGCTGCATCCTCCACTCCTTACTCATCTTTCTTGCCTACCATGTCCCTAACCCCAATGGCACAGTCTCACCGGGCCAAAAAGTTACCCTCTACAGACTCCAACCACCTAAATGGTGTTAGTTTTGGTGTCCCTGGTGGCATGTCAAATGTGAAGATACTAAGCAAATCGAAGGATAATACTCGGGATACGAATGTGGGAGCTAATGTGGGCGGCAGTGGTCAGAGCAAGGTTTCAACTCATGTTAAGCCTAATTCCAGTTTTGTGGGGAATCAGCAGGGAAGGTACAGTCTTGAATCCCTTCCAAAAGTCTTGTTGCCGAGATGGTTTATTTCTTTCTGACAATGACATACACATTATCTGTCAGTTGATGACTTGTTGATTTTGTGTTTCTTTTGAAACTGTTGCAGGGTCGCTGGAAATGTGCCAACTTCTAGAAGATAGTAAAGCATCGGAGACCGAGAACGAGAATGTTAGGGAAAACAGTTTGAATGTATTGAATGATAGTAATTCTATGGTCCTCTAGGAGGTAATGCCAAACTGGATGCGTCCTTGTGGCTGGTACTAGGCATATCAGATGGCCGGTGGAGGTTTTGTTGAGTGGAAGAAATCTTTTGGGAATGCTTACCTGCTGCGGAAGTATGAACGATTAACTTATTGGATGTTGAGGAAAAACATGGTCTTTTAGGAAATTTGTTTCTTTGCTGTCTTCAGTATGGTCACTATATACCGATTCGTGTCGTGTTATCTAATTTCGTTATTTTTTGGTGCGTTTACAACACCGAAAGGGAAATTGTATCTCGTGCACCATGGCCATGCAGTTGCAATGGTGCTCTGCACTTGATATCTGCACTGATGTAAAGGTACAATGGCTGTTGATTACGTTGGGTTGTTGATTTGCATAAGGTTGAATCTTCCAAGCACCGTTGCGTCATTGAGGGGCTTTTGATCACTGAATTTTGCCTTGGGCGTACTTGGAACTTTGAATATGGAAATCGAGTCAATCGGCCCAGCACAAAGTTGTTTCACAAATCAACCGGCATGAAATTTTGTTAACCAAACGGGGAACAAGCATGGTGCTTAGCCTAAGGTAGGGGATTAAAGGAGAAAAGCGTTGGCGCAGTTCAAAGTACGTTCACGGGACATTTCAGAAAAGGTAAGTGGAAGTCCAGGCATATAGTGGTGCTCATTGGATTGCGACCTTGAAACTAAAGTACTGTGAACACACCCAGAGACACTAGGACTTCATGTTGGTTTTCCTATCCCTGATAGGTGCGCTGCAGCTGTTGTTGCTGCTGCTGCTGCTGCTGTTGCTGCTGCTGCTGCTGCTGTTGCTGCTGCTGCTTTGGGTCGTTCAGCTGAAAAGGATGTCGAGGAGCTTGAAGGTACATTGGTTGCTGTTGCTGCTGCTGCGACCATTCAATTTGACCTTGTGATGCCTGCATGTAGTGTTGTTGTTGTTGCTGCTGCTGCTCTTGTTGCACCGAGGCCATCTGAAATGTATACATAGACACACAGACAGAGAGAGAGAATTTGATAACCAATTCGTTTGAACATCAGCAGTAAAATAAGGTTTATTTAGGCTCTGCGAAGGTTTTACCTGAGCATTTGGTGGCTGTGTCGTCCCTTGTGGCTGTGGCGGTGGTGGCTGAGCATCAGCAATCTTAGCTAGGTACATCAGGTTCTGTTGTAGCTGGTTTTGCAAACTGATTCAACTCCCCGATTGGATATAGTATTGCAAAGAGAAAACAGAGGCTAGTTATTGTTTTCTGCTACAAGGTGATTCCAAGCACAATAGTTAAAAATGTCTAGCAGCGAACTTGCTGATCCATTTAACTCATCTACTAAAGCCAAGCCAACAACACATCAAATCTAGGGGAAGGCAAGGGAGAGGGAAAGGCAGCCTACAAGGTGCAACTGAGAATTACCAACTACTATATTGTTCCCAGAGAAAGGAAATAAGCAGATCTAGACAAACTTATCAAATTCATTTGCTGCATACTCACTCAAAAGTCATCAGATCACCTTCTGGTTGGATTATTGATGAGCATTAAAGAGAGAAATGACTTATTTTAACTAATGCAGCACAGAATTTATGAGACCTCCACAAAACTGTTCTACTTCTCCTGATAATGCCTCTTCTCTTATCTATACAGAACAGCTGATTTTGGCCAAACTCAACTGCAGCACACCCAACTAAGTTTAACTGGGAGACTGGTGTTAGCATAGCTTTAGAACAGAGATGAAAATTCCCTAATGTTTCCCTGTGATCTTTCAGGCAAGAGCAAGAGTGAAAGCGCTAACAAGAAAAGAAAAGACTTCCAGATCAACAACATGCAGAAGTCTCAATGAAGTTGAAGCATCAACATTCTGAGGAAATAAGTTTTTGAATGTAATGCATATGCTCAATAGACAAACAAAAAATCGACCAGGTAGTTGATATCACTCACGAGGAACATTCAGCAAACTTCCCGGCACTCTGATGCTCCAGGATAGCCATGATCAACTTCTTGTTATCATCCAAGTACTGCAATAAAGAACCATAACCAAAGATCAAAGGTTGCCCAACACAAAGAAGCAATCATATAGATCTGAGATTTTTCAAACCTCGAAGACAGGACAAATAGATTAATTGCCTCCAAGAATCCCACAGTGAAGCATAATCAGTGCACCACAATGTTACAAAGTCACGAAGCCAATGACTACAATGCAGTTTTTTCCATGGTGAATCCAAACCAAGCACTAAAATGTAGCCAAGAGCACAAATCGTTGGCAAAGCTAAGGAATAGCCAAAAGGAAAGCAACCCATTACTCCCATGGCGAAGAACAATAAAACGAAATAGAAAAGGGAAGGTCTTGTTCCTGCTATGCTCTTCAATCTTCAGAAAAGCAAAGCAATGCCATGACCTTACTCTTGTTGGTCATACAATGTCGACTGAATCTTATATAATGAAATGGCACATTCACACTGTGTAAAAAACCAACGAATCCAAAGAGACTCAAGATCTTGATCCATAAGGCGTGTGAACTCGTAAAACGTATACCCAAAAAAGGAGAGGAAGAACAAAGGACCCATGAAAGCTAGCATGGAGGATTTCATTACGGAATCACGATTGGGGAAGGAAATGTGGGAAAACAATGCCATGCAAAAATAGGGTAAGGAAGAACTAATCCCATTTGCTACCTTCTGAATCTGCTCGGTGGTGACGTTTCCCGGAGGAGTGTTCATCAGCATCCCCTGCTGCTGCTGCTGTGGCGGTGGCGTCTGCGTCATTGTTTTTTCCCTTGTCTCCCCACTTCCTTCCTTTCCCACAAATGCCGTAGAAAAAACCCACAAAAACCAAAAACCCTTTCGTCTCCTTCACCTTCTTTTTCACTCCATCTCTCTCTCTCTCTCCCTATCTCTTTCTGGTCTTTGTTTGCTGTCAGGCGCAGCAGAAAGAAAACAGAGAAAACGTCCAAAGACGGAAGGCCGTTCCTGCCACTCTGCAGAAACTATTTATACCAGTAGGAAGACTTCTTCCACGGGCCACGTCATCAAAGCCAGAACCTAAAACGACGTCGTGGAAGCTTTACTCGGGTTCGCGTTCGTGTTAATTTTATTCGATACTGCCGGCCGGAGGGGAAGGAGAAGAGGAAGAAGAAATTGAGCGAGGCGGGCGAGAGAGGAAAAAAGAAGGCGCGCGATGGGTTATGTGCTAAGGGTGAGATTGGCGTCGTTCTTCGCCGGAGCAGCGACGTCGTCTTTCGTCGGACTTTACAGCCTGTACAAGGATTACAAGATTGCTCATGAATCCATATCTCAGCAGGTATTTGTTACCCCACCTTTTGTGTTAAATTTTTTTTTTGGGGTCTTAGTTTTAACCTCGCCGGAAGTCTGTTCCTTTGTTCTACGAATGCCCGTCGGTCCGAGGTATTTCTTCCATCAATGCAAGATTATGAATTTTCTTTGAGTTTGGATTCATTAGGGGTTTCTTGCGTAAAGCTGATTGCTTTGGCGTGAGTGGGTTTGCAATTCCTTTTTTTTTTCTTGTTTGGTTTCGGGTTGGTAGATTTAGTTTCCTTCTGGCAATTGAGATTCTGTAGTTGGTTGGGCTTGTCTAGGAGTTGATAATCGGTAGTTTATGGCATCGTTCAATCAGTAGGCTGATGGCCTTTTTTCTTCTTCCAAATGTAGTTGCTAAACAATGTGCAAGCAAGAATTAATTCTTGTTTAACTTAGGTTGCTGGTTTGACTTTTGAGTGGGATCTAATCTGGGAATGGTTGCCCTTTCTAGCTAGAAATTATCTAGCTATGATGCAACACTGCAATTAGAGATGCCAGGAAAGAACTTCTACAACAATTGAATTTTCTCTTTGTGGTTATGCAGCTTGAGCTACATTTGGTAGTTTTGGTAGTTTTTTGCTTTCTGGTTTCCTCTTTGTCTCTCTGTTTGTTTAAGAACAGACTGAGGAAGTAATAATGTGCAGAAACTTCAGAATACTAATCTCAAGTGGGATGAAAACTATCCTTCTGACTGGATCATTGGAAGTTTTTTGTTTTTGGTTTCTTGGATCATGTATGCATCACTCTCTGAATCATATGTAGTACTTACACATTTGCAGATTCAAAATTCAACTGAATTTCCACTCTGCTGATATATCTGAAGCATGCTTCCAAAAGATGGGCCATCTTTCCATTTCTCGGCATCAGACCTTTCCTAAAGTTCATTAGCAATCTCTAACAATTGATAGTCATTCCCAATTGTATTTCAAATGTCATGTTCACTACTCATTATGCAGTGTTGTTAGAAACAATAAATTGTGTTTCACCTGTGAAAGGACTCATTCGATGTTTACGGGATTAATGAATTACATCATGGTAAGTTTGGCCCTATGATCATGAAGATAAAGACTTTGAGGACATAAAAATTGCGTAATAACTGCATCCTTCATCTGGAAGGGTAACTGAGTAGAGAAATGAACATAGAAAGTTTACTAGTTCAGCTTCTTTTCCTCTTCTGGGTGATGATGCGATGCACTGCAAGTGATTGTTGAAAATTTCCGTCTCTTTTGACAGTAGTTTTCTTTTTCATTTGTTTCCCCAGGTGAAAGGCCTATATGAGACGCTTGATGCTCGGATTTCTGCACTCGAAAACTTGAAACAATCTGAAGTTCCACAACCAGCAGAGGCAACGGAGTAGCTTCTCGGAATGAAGAGTAACATTTTAGTATGATACGTACTGTGGCTTTCAAAACCAAACACGTGCTACTGAAATTGCCATTGGTTTCTCCTGCACATTCCTTGTAATCAATGGAATAAATTTTACATCTTGAACAAATGACATGAGTTCGCATTTTGATTGAATGAATCCTGGCATTGCAGTTCACCAACATTTTGATTGAATAAATTACAGCTTGAACAATTAGTGAGTATATCCGTAGGTGAAATGGCCATGTTCATGTAAGATGTAGACGAGCTTTAGTATTAAGTGAAAACCGTGGTTGCTAAGAACGATATGAATTGCCCTTAGAAGTAAAGAGTCGACTGTTTCCACCCACAGCTGGGCCACCTCTCTTTTACCTTGGAACTCTAGTCCAGTGGTACCGTGATAACAATCCAACCGAGGAGCTAAATAATGTAGATTTCCATCTTTCTGCAATTTTCTGCTGTGTACTGTGATCATGCTTCCTTTTTGGAACCCTAATCTAGTGGTCCAATTATGCATCAGTGTTGCTTACTTTCGTATGCTACAAGTAATCCTAATCTAGTGGTCCTACTATATACTACAGTGTTGCTTACTTTCGCATACTACAAGTAGTCCCAAATCATGACAATTACATTTGCTGTTTTTAGCGTCCAGTTAAACTGGGGAGTCATTTAAACCTTACTGATGAATTGGCGTCTCCCAGCTTGAGAAGAGAAGCCACAACATCCCTCATGGAGGGTCTCATTTCAGGCACTGGCTGAGTGCACTCAAGTCCCAGTTCCAGTAGCTTCTTAGCCTTCTCTTGCTTATCTGGATCCCAAGAGGTGATTTCATTATCAACGAACTTTATGAAGTTGCTACCCTCGTCATCACCATCATGCTTCCCTTCTACATTCTTCCTCGCCCAACAAGCAATGTCCTGGCCTTCTTCGAAGCTTGGATCAACAGGCATTTTTCTGCAGACCAGCTCTAGCAAAATCACTCCATAGCTGTACACATCGACTTTATCTGTCAACATCGTTGAGTATGCATTTTCTGTCATGGAGAAACAAAGAAGGTGAGTGCTTCGAATGAGATGAGTAGGCTGAAAAATCGTTTGATGAAGAAGCTTGATCATAATTAACATACCTGGAGCCATGTACCCAAGTGTGCCAACAATTTTGGATACTGTTGAGCTAGACTGTTCAGCATCAGGATAATTATTAACACCTAACTTTGCCATTCCAAAGTCTGCAACTTTGGGCTCCAAGTCCGAATCCAGCAACACATTGTCGGATTTCACGTCCCTATGAATGATTTGAGGCACACAGTCATGGTGAAGGTAAGAAAGGCACTGAGCGATACCGAGTGCAATGCGTAATCTATCCTCCCAATCCAGAACCAACCAGGATTGCTCTCTGTGCAGTACATCAGACAGCGTCCCTCCAGGCATGTATTCAGTGACAATGAAACAATCTCCCTTTGCAATGCAGTATCCCCCTATTTTCACTGCATTTCTATGCTTCACCATGTTCAGGATTCTAATCTCATGGATGAAGTCCGATTCAGAAAGATTATTCACCTTCTTGACAGCCCAATTCTTTCTGGAGTGCACAGATTCTGTCCAGTAAACCGTCCCATGTCTCCCTCTTCCTATCTCGTTGCAGCTTTCAGCAGCACGGATTATGTCTTCAAACCTCAGATCATCTGGTAAGCTTTCGGATCTCATTGTGGATTCGTGGAGAAGTGATTGGTCACACTCAAGTTTCTGGTGAATCACTCGCATGATGAATACGTAAACCATGGCACAAACTATTGCCATAGTACCGATCACTGTGATAACCACGGCAGCTACTTCACCACCGCTCATACGTCCATGCCTTGCTCTCCTGCCACACCTTGTGTCATTGCTTGTGATACAAATCCCAGGATTTCCAAGGGAAGATCCTGGATGTTTTGCTGCTATTTTTTCCCAAGAGGCTGGGATTCTGCCGTAGAGTTGCTCGTTGAATGATATGTTGAAGAAGTTGAGGGCTGCCATATTCTTCAGTTGACTAGGTATTTCACCGGAGAAATTGTTGCTCGAGAGATCGAGAGCTTCCAAGTGGTCCAGATTCCCTAGGCATGTTGGGATTTGACCAGAGAAATTGTTATGGCTGACATTGAGAACTGAACTAAACTGGCGAATTCTACTCAGGCTGCAAGGAAGAGGGGTTTCAAGCATGTTGTTGGCCAGCTGCAGCGATCGAAGATCTTGGAGTGGAGAGAAAGAGTCAGGAATTGCTCCAGTGAGGTTGTTCCCCTGAAGGAGCACAACTGCCAATCTCTCCAGTGCCAATATCTCATTAGGAATATTTCCTGAGATGGAATTCCCGCTAAGATCTAGTTCAATTAACTTTTTACAGTTGCTGAGCTCGGGAGGAATACTTCCTGTCAGCATATTAGAAGAAAGATGTAACTTATGGAGCTTTGCTAGTTTACCTAGCTCAGGAGGGATAGAGCCAGAAAGTCTGTTTCCAGAAAAGTCAACCGTCGAGAGATTGCTCCAGTATCCAAGAACTGGTGGTATGCTACCTTCAAGCAAATTTGAACTAATCTCCAGGTAACTTAATCTGGTGTTCTTTCCAATGTTTGGCGGTATTGCCCCTTGCAGCTGATTATGGCTCAAAATCAACCTATAAAGAGATGAACATGCACCAATACTAAGTGGGAAGCTGCCATTAAGCTGGTTGTGGCCAAGCACAAGAACCGAAAGCTTGTTTCCTGCGCATAAACTCGATGGAACTGGACCAGAAAGGGAGTTTCCAATCAGATCAAGTTTCACTAGTGGAGAGTACTTCCCAAGCTCAGATGGTATCACTCCAGTCAAGTTGTTATGAGACAGAGAAAGAAACTGGAGCTGTGTCAGCTCGGCAATCTCAGACGGGATTCCACCATTCAACTTGTTTTCATAGAGAGCCAACTCTTTTAACCTCTTTAACCCACCAATCCGCCTCGGGATTTCGCCAGTAATTCGATTCTGGAACAAATAAAGAACCTCAAGGCCTTCAAGAAACGAAATTTCAGGTGGGATGCTCCCTTCAATCAAGTTATCGTCCAGTCTGACATCAATAAGTGCGCTACAATTGCCAAGCTGTGGAGGCAAGGTGCCATTGAGCTTGTTGCTGTAGAGATACAAGTACTTCAAGTTCTTGAGATCACCAATGGAAGGAGGAATCGGGCCAACTAACTGATTCCCAGAAAGAGCAAGACTGGTTAGCTGCTGACAACGAGCTATCTTCTCAGAGAGAGTGCCGCTCAGCTGGTTAGTCGACAAATCAATCCAATCCAAATTCCCCATAGCCCACAAGCTCTCTGGGATTTCTCCCTCCAGTTTGTTTCTATCCAGAGCAAGCCTTTTAAGCTGCACAAGACCCGTGAAGATCTCAGCGTCCATCTCACCAACTAGACCACTACCCGAAGCTACAAACAGAGTAAGATTCCGGCAATTTCTCAGGGAAACAGGGAGAGATCCAGAGAGCCGATTCTCAGAGACCCAGAAATTGGAAAGAGCACATGAAGGTGGGAAATCAGGGAGCGACCCCGTAAACCGATTGGAGATAAGGTACAGAGTTTCCAGATTGGGAAGAGTGAACAGCTCCATCGGAATCTCCCCATCTAAAGTATTGTTCTCTAATCCAAGGTATTGAAGGCTAGTGCAGGAGGCTACCTGTTTAGGGATTTCGCCGGAGAAACCATTGTAGCTGAGGTCCAGCACCGTCAGCTTCTTGGACTGGAAAAGCTCCGGGGGGATGGGACCCACTAACTGGTTAATCCCGAGAACGATGGTATCGAGCTGCGAGCAGTTCCCGAGCTGAGGTGGAAGGATTCCGGTGAAATTGTTGCGACCAAGGTCGAGAGAGACGAGGGCTTCGTGGAGGCAGAGATAGGAAACAGAGTCGTTTAGAACGGCCGAAAGGCCGAGATTTGTGAAGTTCAAGGACATGATTTGCGGGGTTGGAGTGTCTGGATAGCAGGAAACTCCACGCCATTGACAAGGAGATGAAGAAAGGTTGTTCCATTGCAGGAGATGCTGAGACTGGGAAGGGAGACTGTCTCTGAACTGAAGGAGGTAAGTCGCTGCTGGAGAGACTGCAGCAGCTGAACTGGTGATGACTGAAATTAGAAGTAGTGATTGTGGGAAGAAGAAGAAGTAGAAGAGACTCCGGCAGATCATTTTAATAACTATATGCTAAACAGTGAAATTTTGATGAAAGTTAAGCTTTCAGGGATGGATAGATTAAGCTTTCATAGATTAACAGATGGGCGAAAAGGAAATCAGCTAATCAGGAGTACATCTGTTTTTTGTTTTATTCCTCTTGGTTTTATTCCGGTCGCCGGTGGCCGGCGGTGGGGTTGTTTTTATAAGACTGAAAGTCAATTTTAAATCATTTGCATCCGCACTACAAACAAAAGTCTGATTATTCAGGCGGAGTATTGGGGGAATGTGAACCCACTCGAGTCTCCCAAGTAATAATACTAACCATTACCAACCCCACTTAGGTGTGAGAATGAGACTGAGACTGAGACTGAGAGAGAAAAAACCCATTATGAAATAAATTATTTACTCTGTTTCTCTGTTTCTTTCTGGGGTTTTGTTTTGTTTTGTTCTTGCTTCTGGTTAAAGTTCTTCGCTTAAAGTTAAATCACCATGTGCTTCACATTTCGCAGCATAGTTTAACAATTTGTTGACTTACAGAATCCGATGGAAGAAGAACAAGAAATTGCAGAGCATTGTCTAGTTGTCTACACCCATTGCTAATACCAAAAAAGCTCTGTTAAAGTTCATATTTCATGGGTTTGTGCCAGTCCCTGCAATTAGTCTACTGAATTTGATTAAGAAAGTACAGTGATTACAAATCCCAATTGGATTTCATCTCTCCGTGGGAAGAGATCACCTAAGCAACCACCTGTTAACCTCGTAGTTAGAAGCAGGATCAGCACAGGAGGAGATAATCTCGTCAGTCGCAGTTAGAACGCTGTCAGTGTAAGACGAGGATGACATTTTGGATCTCTGCTCCATATAGCTGGGATACCTCAACCTGTATTCTGCATCGTAATCGTAATCTCCGGCGGCGCGAGGTGGATCCGGGAAAGACAATCGTTTCTTCGCCGTCGTTGAAGTAGCGCCGCTGCTACTATGCGGCTGCCTGATTGGCTGCTGCTGCTCCCTGCTGTGGTCAGAGGTAAGAGTCGGAGAAGGAGATGAAACAGAGTTGTTCCTCTGTTTCGGGGCACTCTGCGATCTCGACCGAGCCTTGGCCGACTCCGTCGCCGCCATGTACCGGGGGCTGCCTGAACGAGAGTGAAACCCCGCCGCTGCCTGAGCCAGGGGTGGTAATTTTGGTGACGATATGGAATGGTGGTGATGCAGGGGAGAGGCAGGGGAGTTGCTGTGCCGCCGGCGAGGACTCTGTTTTTGAGGAAAAGGAGGGTGGAGAGAACGGGCGTCCATTTCCACGGTTTTGATTGTGGTGGCAGTGGAGTCGATGGAAGCTCGCCGCTGCCATCTGTTCTCCGATGTCCTCTGGCCGCTTCTTGTCCAGCCAGTACTGCCTTCTTCTTCTTCCACCTCTCCTTCACTCGCATATCTCACTAATTCCCTCTCCCTTCTCCTCTCACCGCCGCCGCTCCACAGCTGGTGGGTTTGTTGTAAAATGGAACGGATTTCCTCTTCCATTTCCGCCTTTGTTCCATCATCATCATCAACAGCAGCAGCATTGTCATTGTCCCAGTAGTTGTCACCATCTCTGAAGCATTGCTCCAGGCTGTGCTTAACAGGAAGACGGCCACCGTCGGCGGTGGCTGGAGAAAGAGAACGGCCGTGGTGGTTGCGATTGTGAAGCACCTGAGCCTGAACTCTGAGCAGAGATTGAATGCAGTGAAGGGTGAGTTTCGCTCGTCTCCTGACATTTTGCCCTCTCACCAATGCTTGCAGCTTCACCACTCCCTTCAGCGCCCTCAGTGCCTTCCTCCCCTGAACCCAAAAGGAAAAATGTCAGCACACCAAAATGGTACCAATCCAATTTAACTAACTCGAGCTATTGCGACGAACTAGTTTTGTGCAACGAATACTCACCAAGTAGCCTCTGAAGGCTGTCTGAATCGAGACCGCTGCGAAATGCTGCTTGACAAAGAGGGAAGGATTGGCGAGCCTGACGACTTCCACCGCCGCCTGAGCGGTGGCAACTGCAGCCTGAGCGGCTGCAGTGGTGGCCATCGCCACCGCGAGGGCGTGCCTTTGCTTACTAGCAGCTTGCTCCGTGGGGGAATTCGACACCACCATCCTGCTGCCGCCGCCACAGTGGTGGAGAATGACAGTAGTAGCAGCAGTCTCCTGCTGGCTGGTGGTGGAACTACTAGAGTTGCTCTTCCTGCTGCTGCTGCTGAAATTCATCCACCTCCTTTTCCCTCTCTTCTGCAAAAATTTCCAGTACAGTAGTAAATACACACATACATTGTACAACAGAATCATGTACAAATATAGAACATCATGAATTTAATACCTTTTCTTCATCTTCTTGTTCATGGTCTTCCCTCCTTTTGCTTGTTTTCTTGTTAGCATCATGAGATTCAGCGGTAGTAGCAGTAGTTGTAGCAGTGCAGGAATTGGTGATCTTCTTGGTGGGAGAACCGAAAGCCTTTCTGACAGCAGTGAACCAAGAAGAGCTTCCTCCAGTCTTCCCCATCGCCTTAATACATAACAGAAGAGTACTGCTGCCACTGCTTGCTATTTAATACAATACAGAAGGCAGGGGAGCGTATTTGCCAGCGATGCAAATGATGGAATGAGAGGAGAGGAAAGTAAGCTAATGAGCAATGATACTAACTGATAATGTCGCACATTTGCATGAAATGGTGTAAATGATGCTGCAGGGCTTAATAATAGTAGTGCCATGGAAGTGAGATTTTGGCTCCTCGAGAATGCAGAAAGCTGCTACAAACAACAATGGAATAAAGGGAGAAGTTCCTCCATGGAATCATGGGTAGAGTTTCATCAATTGGAATGCTTTTGCTTTCTCTCTCTCTCTAGTGTTGTTGCTGTGGAGAACAGTAAAGTGAAAAGCGAAAAAAAAGCTCCACTCGACCCGATACTACTATTATTGCTTGCAGCTGCACCGCGATAGCTCTGCCTGCCTGCCTCCTCACGTGTTAAGGAAAGTCGAGGAGAGAATTAGCCATTGTTTGTTGTTGTCGCAGCTAAGTAGGAAAGGTTTGTAATGTTAGCTGCTGCAATTTCCGTTGGTGGGTGGTGGGCGCTACATTGCATAAGTGAGACAGCCAAGCTGAGGTCGCCATTAATGGGTTCTGCTGGGTAGTGAAAGATACTGCTGCTGCTGGTTTATATAGCAGCTTTGTCTCATCTAAATGCCTTATATTTCTTGAGACTGACTGGTCAAACTATTCCTCTGCTTTGAGTGTTGTGTTTGTGCTTCTCCCCCACTTTCCTAAAAGGAAAAGCCTACATCTTTATTTACCATGGGTTTACTTTCAGTAAAGAAATACTAATGCTACCTTGTGTGTTAGACCAATAACTGATTCGTGATACAAATTTGTTCAAGTTCAACTAACATACGTATCATATTCGGATGGTGAAAGAAGCCATGTCGTACTACGCTTCGGTAATCGCTTGTGGTCTGAAAAATCATCGATTCGACGAAATTCGTAACATAATGTTGGTTGTTTGTCGATATCGTTATAACATAACGATAGGACCTTGTATCGTAGGATTATTCTCCATTTGTTAGCTATGTTTGCTTGATTGGTATTTGGTACACAGGAGAGCATTGGATCCTCTTGACAGTTTGAAGTTTCTGCCTCTTTATGGGAAAGGAAAAAGGACAGAATAATGACACAGTTTGCATACTTACCACTACCAGGAACTTGTACTAAATTGTCTCTCTACTCATTGGACAGGTCAATTTCCCACTAACCAGGCCAGGAATATGGGCCTGTCTGACGGGAAAGTCTTTGTCACAGAACGTTAGCGGGGCTGGGCCTAGCCCATTCGAAATCGCGTTTTAAAAGCACTTCTAGGTTACCGAAATGCTTTTTCGCATATTAACTTATAATTATAGTCAAATCTACGCTTAATAACTTAGATTTGAAATCTAAGTCGTTGAAATCTCATCGTTGTCACGATGTAATTAATTTCTTTCCTTTAATAGGATAAAGGATTGAGGGTAGTTGACTATAATAATATAGTGATTCTATCCCATACCTTTTTTTTTCCTGCCAGCCTACTAAATTACTGGATTACTCGTTTGAAAACCCTCATTTTTTTTGTAATTGTAAATGTAAAAAAATGTTGCGGAGACGGGATTTGAACATGTGACAAGGCCCAGCTTCAAAACAGTACGTGGAGCTAGCTTCTGCCTAATACGACTCCTCTAGGGATGGAGGTAGGTCCAGCCATGTCTTGTGTGGTTAAGGTTGTTGTACACGATCTCACAAAAAAAAAAATGTGAGTTCATCATTCAAAGGGAAGTATACTACTCAAGAATTTCACATTTCATTTAGCCGAAATTCAATCTTTGTGCGAGCATCAATATTTGACCAGGAGTTTCTTTAAAGTATACCGAATCAGTATAGCTTTCTAGCTACCTTGAAGAATCTATTATGGCTATGATTGATTGTTATAGACAAATTTTCTATATTATTAAGTTTTGATTTTGACTAATAATTGTGGCTTTGTTGTACCTTTTCTCCTCCTTATCTAATTATTTTTGTCTTGTTCGCATTTGAGGTAATTATAATACAATCCTATTCATCGATAAAAGAAGACCATATATATAGTAGATAGAAGTTAAAAAAAGAAGAGAAAGATGATAATTAATTATATATGCGAGCACTCTACGCCTATAGCAAACGATAACTTTTAGCCACCACTTATTTAAGAATATAACGATATTAATCAACACTCAACATACACTCCATAAGAATGTAATAAGATGACAAGTTGTTTGACAACTCTATTAATGTATGGTCCCATTGTTATAAAAACTGGTTTGTTTTAGTAACTTGATTTTGTTGAGAGATCGAGTTTCTAAAATAAATTATATATTATTCTCTCGTCACGCATTTTTTCAAATGAAAATCAATCGATGAATTTAAATTCTGTACAAACACACGTCGTATTTTATGATTATAAATCAACTATAAATACTAAGTATCATGAAAATTTTGAACATAGATAATCTCGTTTATCGTGTACTTACTATATCATATTGAAAACTTATTTCAATAAATCGAGATCTTGAAAGATAAATTTTATATCTTTCCCGCCACCAAAGCTATGAGATATTGATTATATATATGACTAGCTTATTACCCGGCCCGTTGGCCGGATTACTGTATGTTACCCACTTGTGGAATGGGAGAGAAAGCAAGTGAGAGTGAAGGGATTGAGATTCCACTTGATTAGGACCGACCCACTAATCCAATTCTTCTCGACCCGCCCCAACCTACAGGGTCAGAAAGAGTCAATAAGAAAATACGAACGGGGAGGATTAGTCATATATCTTGACTCTTCAGAAGTGGGTCAAACAGGATCAAGGTTGGGTGAGGGCAATTTTTAGCGCTAAGCAGAGTTCTGGGTTGAATACCTTTACTTAGGCCTAGAAATTGGTGCTGATGCAGACTGCAGTTTTTATTATACCATCATCAATCATCAATCATCATTGAATTAGTCCTGGGCATCCCTCCCCGTTGTCGGTCTGAATTCTAATGATGGCTTCATTCCTTGCACCAGCCATATCAGCGAGTTGCCATCTCGAGCATGATTTGCCTATGTACAAATAATACAATTAGAGTATGAAAATGAATTCAATGAAAAGGAAAAGAGAATTCTATCACATGCCAATAAATACACACATAATAGTTGAAGCTAAGTGAAAGTCATTACTCGCACATCAATTCTCAAAAATTACATACTAAACATTGGCTAGAATGGCACTGAAACTACCAAGAATCATGGACGAAACAACTTGTCAAATTAAATAATCCTTATACTGAAACTACCTTCTAACTTGAAATAAGACACGATCACAGTTCATAGCTCTCTTCTCACTATGAATTGGTTGCAGCTCATCCTTATCACTGCCTCTCAAGCTCAATTCAAACAGAATAGAGAACGTTATGTAAGATAACCATATTCTTACTGATCATAATTCCTTTCTTCACTCCATTTTTGTCGGAGAAAAGAGTTATCCCCCTCTCCTGCATTTCCCTTTCCCCCTCTCTTCTCCCTCTTCTTCACAAACCGATCCCTAAACCAGCAACAACAACACAAAAATAGCCTTCGCCTCTCCCGTCTCCATCTATTGAACGCGTTGGTGGCAAGACAGGACTGCAGAAGCAAAATTTTCTAAAATCAAACTAAATTTTTTGAAGCAGACTCAACCACGAAAAAAGAGTAAAGCAACAATGCAGTAGAACCCTAAATTTAACTACAATCAAGCACATATCAGCAAGATTTTCGATTTGTCTGAGAGTTAACTACACGGAGAGAACAATTGATGCATAATTGAAATGCTCCAAGCAAGTTGAAGGCAAACCATAACTTTAGAATTTGGTCATTATAATAACCTTCAAGTATTGATGCTTCTAAGAACTATCATGTCCAACCCCCACTTATACAACTACGTAGCCATAGTAATTAGTTGTATAATGAGAAATATTACAAAGCAAACTACATAAACAACCAATGTAAGTAAATATGAAAACTAACAACTGATAAAACTTAAAATCTCTCTATTGGTATAAATGTATCTATTAGTAACTACTATGCAATCGAGTATATATGATTTTTAGGCACTGAATAAGAAAAGTATAGATGGCTCACAAATGAAGACGTAGCAACTGAAGGTAGCACACAAAAACCAAAAATAGAAAAAGAGATAAGAAAAAAAGCGAGAAAAAGTCAAACAAAGAAAAAGCCCACATAGGAATACCTTGCTAGCTTTAGGGACTCTCTGCCACAACAAACAACCTTCTTAAAAATCTAACACCCTGAGACATCAAACAAACCTCCCACGACACTAATGTATGGCATTCCTATTGTCCAATAGGTTTGCCCAATTTAGACTTCTAAATAAATGGACTTTTCACCATTAAACCAAAACTCACAATCATTAACAGTTAATGCAAAGACATACATTTCTGAGGCCAATCACAGCATTTAAGCATAATTTTTAGTTGAAAAGAACAACTAAGTATTTAGCTAAATGATATAGTAGAATGGACACAATCTGCTACCTACTAATGATATAAACGTGTACCGGTACCATCGTTGTATCCTGACTTGCCATTTGCAACGGGCACTTTGAAAGACAGCTGCATTTTAGAGAATAAACACCCATAAGGGCGTTACGAAACCAAGCTTAATCCAAAATCTTCATATTCCACTTCGAAAACTCCATTTTCAAAAATAAGAGAGTTTAACATGTCAAATCACTCATTTGAAAAATCTCAAACAACTATTAATCAATGCAATATAATGGCACGTTCTAAATTATGTACTTGTAGGAATAATCCCAAATAATTATCAATTAATGCCCCAACTACCTAATGTGCAGAATAGCCCTGGAGCTGTGCTGTTGTTTGCGTTGGTCTACCTTCAAACATAACATAGTTGCATCACGAACCAAAGCAATTAAGCAAAAATCTTCATATTCCAAGTAGAATGACTCAATTCAATTTGGCCAACGCTTTATACATATTGTTTACCCCTGGACCTATTGCACCTGCGCCTTCAGATCTTCGTGAACACAATACAATTGCGGAGAGGAGGCTGTCAACGGAATAAAAATTGTTAATTAAGTGAATCACCATACAGCTAAACAAACGCGCTCTTCTTGATTAGCTATCAAAATAGTGGGGGTCGCTACAATCCATCGGTTGCTCCCTCTGCGCCTAAGTTGTAGATATTAGGTTTCAGTGAGAACTTTGAGTACATGAGGAGATATTTTGTAGTGGAGGAGATGACCCGGCGAGTAGAATAGGAAGATTTGGAGAGGTTGCGATGGGCAAAGCAGTTAAAATCGAGATTTTA